TGCCCCTCACCCCCCCTTGGAGCTCCCGGGGCAGAACCGGCTCTTATTAGCTACTGATTATTAAATTAATTTTAATTAAATATATAATATATTTAATTAAATATATAATATATATATATATATATATATACATATATACCTATAATATATTAAAAAGAAATATTATTTTGGTATTTCCTTACATGTCCTTTCATTGTTCCATGATCTTGTAATTTTGGAAATTCTTTTACAATATTTTCAGCGAGAGTTATTTTAGCTTCTTCAGGTGGATAACTGAGTAAAATAATTATAAAACAATTACATAAAATTGGAAATTTGAATGCAAATAAATTTTTCAGAAGCACACAACTTACTAATTGTCTCCATGTACTTTTATCAATTCGGATGTTAAAATCCTCACAAGACTTCGTCTATCATCTTCTGTGAATATGTTATCTATGGCTTTTAAAATGTCAATACCTTGAGGATGTCTCAAAAGAGAACTGTTTTGAAACGCTGAAATAGAAAAATTTACATTTTTATTATATTAAAATAATCTGCATTCCTCAATTTTATTTTTACAAAAAACATAAGTTTTACCGAAAAATAATGTTTGGGTATTTTAGATTCCGCATCTTTATTAGAAATAGCTAATATAGATGACGAAGTAGTATTAGTGCTAGTAGATGGGCTTTTATTAATTTCCATTTCTATGGAAGTTCTTAATAAAGAAGAATCTAAAGGGAACATAATTTCTCCGTCTTCTCCTATTTCATATTGTTACGCCCGTGCTTCGCGGTATCGGCCGAGCATAAGTTGCGCCGACTGAAATCGTCCGCGGAAGCGGACAAGAGAGGGTTGCTCTCTTAACAACGAGTTGTTTGGCGGGACTCTCTGGATTGACGCGAGTGTATTAAGAGTTCAATAAACCGTTGTAGTTCATTTATAAACGAGTGTGTTGTTCTTTTCCGCGCGAGCTCGCGAGTGTCTCCGTCTTTGCCGCAGGCGCGAGTGTAACAGTGAGCGCGAGCGTAACAATATGTTTCCACTTGAAATGATTGTTTTGATGTCTGCTTATAAAAAGGAAAAAATTAAAAAACAAATGATTACACAATAAAATAAATAATAATAAAAAGGAGAAAAGACATTTATACCTGAAAAGAACATTCTTGGAGAAATTTTAAAATTTTCTTTATTGGACCCATCTTTAACCCCATACTTTTTAAGTCATTTTTGTTCAATAAAAGAAAAGAACAGCTTTTAATTTTTTTATCTAAATATATAACAAGTAATATAAATTACTAATAAATATAATTTAGAATATAGCATATTATATATAGCAATTTAGAATATAGAGAATAGACCAACAAAAAGCAATTATTAATAAATATTTGTCTTTTTTTCTCTACAGAATTTAGAAAGTATATCATATACAAAGATCAATATTCAATGCGTAATAAAAATTATATTTTAAAAATGTATTTATAAGTACAAAAAATATCGTACATTTCTCTACTTGACGAAATGCGACGAAAAAATACATTAGTCACAATAATACATGGCATAAACTAATGTAGGAGCGATTAGATGTTGATTCAGACCAGGTACAAAATGGTTTATAATATCCAAGATTAAGACAATTTATGAAATGTTGCGAAATTTCATTCATTTCGGAATCAATTTCATAGGCATTAAAATCAGTATCAAATAAGTGAGTTTTACATAAAGTGGTCAAAAAATATATTTCATTCTTTTCTAACATTAATATTTCATCTATTCGTCCAAAAAGCGGTAGATTATCTTCTCTATCTTTATCAATTTCAAGGTATACTAATAAACTAAGTTGAAACTCAACACCATTTACTTTTACAGCATTAGTGCTAAAGACGGAATCGTCATCAATATATCCTAGAGTATGTAAATATATACGGCTTTTGCAATCTCGTACGTTAACTGTTTCTCCACAATATGTTTCAGTTCTAAAAATTGTAGCATCTCCTCTTCCCCATCGAGCACTTTGGGAACATTGAACAATTCTTATTAATGTTTTAGGTGGATTTTTAAAATTGTGAACACTTTGAGTTCTTATTTTGATTTCATTATGCTTGGCTTCATAACGCATGCAATTATACAACTGAAGAGGTCCTGACCACAAAATACAATCTGGATAGTGCATTAAATGATGGAATTTATTGATCATACTTACAGTAGGGAACAATTTCTTGAATTTTTGCAAAAAATCTATGATAAGAGCTTTCAAATAAGACATGAGAGAAACAGTAACTTTTGGTGCAAAAATTATTTCCATAATTCTTAGTAAAAGAAGAATTAGTTGCAAATGCTCGTCTGCTTTTGGCACCCAACCAGAAATTAAAAAAGGAAAAGCACGAAGAAGACACCATATTTGCATGGCTTTTTGATTCAAAGTATTTCCTTTTTGATAAAGTAATCTTTCATTAAAATTTGCTGACGGATTATTTTTTCTTTCAGCAAAACCATATTTGAATGATACTAGCCTATCGTTAAAATTATCTATATTAAAAAATTTTAATTCCATAACATAATGAACTAAAACCAATTTTAATAACATTGGTCCAATACCACAAAGTATATCATGCATTGGATCAAAAATCAAATTTCTGCATACATGGAAGAAACGAGATGAATGCAAACAACATTCTCCATGCATTCCTGTTAAAGTTTTACCATTATTGCTATAATTATTATTCTGTAAGAATTGTAAGTGCTTATTGTAAACTTTTACAGTCCTTTGTTGCTTCATTTCTGTACTTCCGTTATGTAAGTCTTCTCAAGTATAAAGACACATTCGACAAAATAAGTTACAAGATGGATTTAAAAAATTAAATATTTCATGGACAGCCAATCCATCTCCACAAAATGCTGCTAATGATGCTCGCAAAATATATTTTTCTTCTCCTAAAAATATAGAAACTCCTTCGTCACTTTCCAACTTTGCAAGATCATTAAGAAAAGGACTTAACACTTTCTTCAGTGCATACTTTTTTATGTCAACATGACAACAAAGGAATAAAACATGAATGCTACTAAGCTCAGAATTCATGTGAAATGGAAGATTTTGTATAGTATAGTAGAAGACTCCTAATTTATGAATGCATGTTTTTGAGCCAAGTGGATTAGTGATTTCTAATTCATCATAATATAATTGAATTTTAATTGCGTGTTTATATTTTTGAAAAAAGTGTGATTTTTGAAATGCTGTCCATCAATAAAAGAAGCAAGAATACCATTATCTGATTCTTTTTCTGTTTCTATTGCATTGCGTATTTCTTTGTTTCTGAGTACCATTGTTAAAGTATCAATTATGGGAACATATTGATAAGTTTCTAATATTTTTGTTGGTACAAAAGTACCAGTTTTTCTATCTATTATATTATTAATACGTGTGCCTAAAGGTATTTCTTGAGATTCAATATATTCTGTATGAGATTTTAAAGCTTCCATTTGCTGCTCGACAGTTCTCAAGCCTTCAAAAGATTTCCTTATTTCAAAAGAATCTAACAATTCGTTAACAGTACAATCATCAAGTATTTGTTTACATTTTATAAATTGTCTAACTTTTTGTTGTAATGATTTACATAAATTATTTGTTATTTCTGCATATTCATCAACAATTTCATTAATGATGCTTCCAGTTATAGTTCCTTTTGAATGAAGCCTAATTATCATTCTTATTACAGAATCTCTCAAATTAAAATCAGAAAATTGTAAGAGCTCTTCATCTTCTTTTTTATTGTGCTTATGAATGGATTCATTATTTATATCACTTTGATCAATAATCATATCATCATATAAAGACGAATCTATATTGTTTGTAGAATCTGTACTTTTCGTAGAAAAATTGCTATCATTCTTCTTTTGAGGAAAATGAATTTTTCGTATATGCTGTCTTAAAGAAAAGAAATTACGAAATCTTCTACGACATTTATTTTGACCACATTCAAATCCACCCTTTTGTAATCCTCGTTTAATTGTTAGACCATGTTTTATTTGAAAATATTGTGTCACCTATCTAACCCTCCTTTAACAGAATTATGGCACAAAAAGCAATTTAAATCCATTTTCTTATTTATTTTTAAATTCTATTTTTAGACATCTGAAATAATTATGAGCACAATTAAAATCATAATTTAATTATAAAATATGAAGACTACTATTATAATTATAAAGACTAAAATATACTAGTATAACTAAAATATGATAAGCACTTACCATTAAAAATGTTTCGTGTTTCCATATCTGTAAGTTCTTCAATTTTTTGTCCTAATTCTTCAATTGACAAATCTTTCACTTCCTTCATTTTTCAATCTATTGCAATAACATGAAATAGAAATTAATAAAAAGAAAGATTGCCAGCTTATAATTTAAATACGAAAATGTATAGTTAATTGTAAATAACCCAGCAAAATGCAGAGGTATGTATAATATATTATTACAATATTTATCTCAATATGTATCTCTGCTTTCTGGAAATTGCACAAAAACTATATAGAGAAAACTTTTCTTATATTATATTGTAACTTACCTAAATTATAAAAGATTTGCGGTTTGACAAAATAGATCAGGACGAGAAATATAACAAGAAAATATTCTTGATATGATATGATAGAAAATATTCTTGGATGCGTGTTGAAAATTTTCTGCTTTTTTTCGCTTAAAGCATTTGTCCCCACGGTAGTATACGAGTAGTATAACGTTGTTAAAACTAAACCACATCAATAATATCACCGAATATATTATTAGACACTTGCATGGAAGTAAATCATGACAAAAACACTTAATTTTCATAAGCACTTAATAAAGGAACGAAAATTCTATATGAAAACAACAGTTCCCTCGACCGTGATTTTCACGTGCGTGCCTGCTGATGCCTGTTGCGCTCTGTGTCACTTTATCCATCACGAGCATGCATTTGTTTTATGCACGCGCGACACTATTTGGTGTTTCAGTAGATATAACATCAGCATTATCGACCGATAAATCACTGATTTATAGTGAATTCTTATTTTCACTGACCATAATCAGTGAGATATGTAAGATGGAGAAGCAGTGTGAGTGTATGTACTGAAGATCAGTGAAATACTTATGGATTCTCAGTGAAATTCTATTTTACTGTTTAAATTAGTGATATTTTCACTTTTAGAGAGATTGCTTAACAGTTTTTCAAGCCGTGGCATACAAGAAACGCGCTTCCGGCTGACAACATGGTGGACTGACATGGAGCATTAAAACTCAACATGCAGTTAGAGATGTTCGTATCCGAGAAAAATAAAAATCAAGTGCGCTAGCATTCAGACACATATTACAATTACTTCTACATCTCAATGTGCAAGAACCTATAGGTACATGTTATACTTACTACACTACATAGTACTCGTAACATTGCTACATCTCCATGTCGTGATAATGTTGTGAAGACAAAGCATTTAGGTACATGTTATACTTACCACAACATATTAACGTTGTCACATCTCCATGCAGCGGTAATACCATAAAGGCACATGTGTATAACTAGACGCGTGGTCGCGAAAGGGGGTTCCAGCGCCGCAGCGGCCCCGTTGCAATTTTTGTTTTCTCTCCCTCCCGCGGTATCTCCATCCCACCCATTGCATGAATCTCGCGCGCGATGTAATTTGACAAAGAGAGAAGGAACGAAAAAATTTAACACATAATGTATATACATATATTTAACACATGATGCATATATATTTAGCACATGATGTATACATTAAACACATGATGTATATTTCATACATAGTTAATTATGTAACGCATCGTACACAATATGATCTGATGCGTAAGCTATTATTTCACAATCAATAAGCGACGTTTTTTCATACATCTTACGCAAAATATTTACCGCATTGTTTTTATTCACGATACAATTTTGATGTAAATAAACGACAAACTGCTTAAACTTATTATTAACGGCGTCTGTATTTTGACTTAAATCAAAATATACATGCTCAACGCAATGTTCAAGCTCGAACATAAAAATCATAATTGACGATTTCATATACATGCAAGTTTCACGCAGTGCCAATTTTACAAGCATTTCATTACGTATTTTTACAAGTTTTACAACCAGGTCTTAAATTTGTAGCGAGGACGGAACGTTTGATTGCAGAAATCGTTCAATGTCCATACGTCTCTTGATGAACATCTTCCACATTCCATAAGGCAGGATAATGTGATTGCCTCGGTTGTCTTCAATAAGTATTTCCACATAAGCTATAGATCCCACGCTGATTCCAATATTCAGATATTTAAAATTGGTGGATGTTAGAGCGAATCTTCTTCCTAATATACGAGGCGTCCTCGAATTATGAGACGCAATTCTGTAAAAGAATTAAATTAACCATGGAAAAATCTAAATTAAGCATGGAAAAGGATAAATAATATATTGAAACTTACGGTCTCTCGATCACCTCATCTTTCAGCGGAACGTAATAATTCATTATTGTTGAAAGATGACAGGCGAATCTAGCACCACTCTGTCAAACGTTCTTTCAAGTACAGTTTTCAAAGTAAGACTGGCAATCTCGCAGTTCCGCAGTTGTACATCTAGGCTCAACACATCTTCACATCTATACACATATATGCTATGCTTTGTCTATCGTGTCGATCAAACGTAACTCTTATACCTTTGGCATTAAATACATTAGGATCCTTGTCTGATTGGTGGAAATAGAACGAATTCCACCACACCTCGAAACGTGGTTTAGTTTCTGTGTAGCGGTGATCACTAATATCATAAATTTTTCCATTGCATGTGTAAAGGAATGACACTGTGACACTGTTCTAATACATATCACGGCAATGTCTAGTTCCATGCATCTGCGGCAAGTAGAAATGATTGGGACATTCCCTCTTAACGCGAGTAAGTGCATTTGTAAATCCACATTCTCTATCACGAAGAAGACGAATCATCGCAGAACAATATCGATTTCGTTTTCTCCTGCACCCACGAGCAAGCACTCGCTCGTACGTAGCCACGTCGCTCAACATTTTAACAATGTGAAATCCTGAGAGTATTTATACGAGCAGCCATAATGCCTCGCGATGAAATCACATCGTCGAACACGCGTAAAAATGCAATTTAGCATTTCGGTGAACCGTCGATGTATGGTAGTTGTCATACAATAGATTTGTGTAATATAAGCTTTTTATAAACACAATTGAAATGTATCGCGGTGAGATCATCGCATTGAACACGTGTTAAAAATGCAATTCAACAATTTGATCAGCGCCGACATACGACGGCTGTCACACAATAGATTCGTGTAATATAATTTTTTTATAACGACAATTAAAATGTCTTGCGGTAAGATCACCCCACCAAACACGTGTTAAAAATACATTTTAGCATTTTTGCACAAGCGCCGATGTACGGCAGCTGTGACACATTAGATTCGCATAATATAATATTTTTTCAATAACAATCTAAATGTCTCGCGGCGAGATTACTTCTTCGAACACGTGTTAAAAACGCAATTTTGCAATTTTGATCAAGCACCAATGTACATACGAGGACATTAATGCCTAGACATCTGAAGTTGCATGCATATCTAAAGAGACCAATAAGAAGCACGCTTTCCGTCCAACGCGTGCTTCTCATTGGTCTCTCTAGTTATGCATGCAACTTCAGATGTCTAGGTATTAATGTCCTCGTGTGTACGGCAGCTTTCCGTGAGATCATGTCGCGAAATCAAATGACATCTGCAACATTTGTAAAAAATTGACCGCACCCATTAGTTTCGGTATATATATTGCAAAGATTTTGATACAAATCGTCAGTGGTGACATTCAATGCAACCAGGTGATTATGAAAATGTAACTCTCGTCAATGGACATCGAAGAAATGATGGAACCACCCGACGATTACATGAAGGTAGAAGTAGCGCATGAGGAAGATAACGAAGAAATGATGGAAGATGACCAAGAAATAATGGAAATAGAAGATTTTTCAGATGAATCAAATAACGATAGTGGTATGGATAACGAAGTGATCGAATTAGTAACGCATAGATTATTGTACCCAGATGATGTTTATGATTTGCATATCACGAATGCACATGTTTGAATTCTATTATACAGACAAAGAAGATGAAAGCTCAAGAAAATATTGCTCCTCATGCGCCATTAGAGGGAATAATCTTCGTCTGTTGCGAAGACACAGTGTTGAAGAATTTATACTCCACGATGGTTATTCATGCTGGCGATCTGGCTGTCCATTGTATCAAATAATGCCATATAACATGTGTCCTATTTGCAGAGTGAGAACCGCTGCGAAAGACATTGCAAAATATTTATATTCGTATCAAAAAGAACATGGAGTAAATGATGCGAGATCTGGAGCAAGTCACCCGGCTGATTACGCGAGAAGACTTTATCGTGTGGGAACAGTGTGTCAACAAATTCATTGATTCGTTTGATGAACAGAGTCGAAATCAACATCCGCGATTATCGATTGGTGTGAGACAATTTGTCATCGCGCGACTCGAAAGTTTGATAGATTTGGTACGCGGACGATTCGTGCATGTGAGCGCAGGATACGGTGCAGGACTCAGATGTCGTGAGATAGATGCAGCTTTCAATAGTCGTATCCTGACCAGTGCATTAATAAATTCCAGACACATTGAACCTCGACAGTTTCTGGAAAATGCGCCAGAAATTGTGCTCGAACGTGTGCGAAATGTTATGCAGAAACATAATAATATCAAAATAAACACCATATTCAACGGTGAATTTGTAACGGGTGACAAACGTGATAATAAAAGTGTTATTACAAGAAACTGTGAACTCTATCTGTGCTCCGATTTACGCGTGTGGTACGATTCGCGCGTTGTTGAGCCTACCTTAGTGTCGCTGGAAAATAGAAGATATAGGCCGGTTCTAACTCGGGAGCTCCTAGGGTAGATCGAGCGGGGCGGGTGGGGGAATTTGCGCGGGGGGATGACGTCACAGGGGTAACCGCCGAGATGATTGTTTACGGCGAGGCCCTGTGGGGGGATTTTTTGCGGGGGGGTTGCGCCCCCGCCTCACCCCCGCGTCCCTGCCGCGCCCCCGCGCCGTCGCGTACCGCGTTCGCGCCCCTGCGCCGCGTTCGCGGGTCCCTCGTCTTTTCGCGCACGCGGTTTCACCCATAGCGCGCTCTCACCCATAGCGCGTTCTCTCTTCCACGCGTTCTCGCTCCCGCGCGTTCTCATCCATAAGCGCGTTCTCCCTCCCACGCATAGCGCACTCCCGCATTCTCTCTCTTCCACGCATAGCGCGTTCTCACCCATAACGCGTTCTCTTTCTCGCGAACGCGTTCTCGCTCCCGCGCACGCACGCTGCCGCGCCGCCGCCATACTTGCTCGCTTACGCGACGCAGTCTCCCTCGCGCTCTCACCCATTGCGCGTTGTCTCGCTCATACCATGGAGGTTTTAGGAAAGAATGTACAATAGTATATTTATGAATACATAGACCCATATATATTATAAACATAAAATATAGTGATTACAAAAATATATGAGATGTATCACCAGGAAGATATATATTTTTGCAAAAATATGTATAAAATAAAAGGGTATGTGTGCAGTGTCAAAATGAATTTTATCGATGTGATACAGCTGGCTCGGGGACACCCTGTGCTTTTTTCTTCGGCGTCGACAAGATTTGTGTGTGTGTGTGTGTGTGTGTGTGCGCGCGCGCGCGCGCGCGCGCGCATAATTTATTGAAGATTAATTATTAAAAATTTAGATATATAATTTTAATATAATATTTAATAAAATAAAAAGTTTATGTATTGTAATAAGTATAAGATGAAAGATATATAAAAGTATTTTTACATTATTTGGTATTATGAGAGGTAAAATGTCATCTATATTATCG